CTACAATTGTAATTGTGTTGGTCTTGTTAGCATAGATAGATTTTTAGCTTCAAGTCGGAGTTTTAACCACGGCAAAAGTTCCCGTCGGATCGCCTAAAAGCTCCTTTGACTTCGATCACCATAATTATAGATCGGAACGAAAAACGACGCGACCAAAACTGCAATCTAGCAGTAATGTGAAAAAGGGATTGAACTTTGTTGCACACACACACTGCTTATCGTTCCTTGAAACAATCTGTCGCTTGAAGGCAGAGGAGGGTTGGACAGGTTGTGGTGCTGGGAGAATGAGCAGGGTAAGGTGACCTTCCTGCTACAGATGCGTGTCACTGGCACGTAAGTAAATTATGCTCTCCAAGCCATCATGCACCCATGTCTAGGCCTCGACCAAATACATGTACTGTCTTTTTGAATTTCTTGCACTTTCTTTCTTCTGCTATGCCATGGCTGGTTATATAATAATCGCCAACGCCATACTAACACTGGCTAACGTAACATGACTGTGCTTAATGACAGTAGTAAAAAATAATAAATCGTGATAATTATAAAGTTCACTTGGTAACGACTCCCGGAGCAGCTGAAAGCCAGCTTTCAGCGGTTTACTCTACACGACGTGTAATGTCTAACGTGTTATAATTTTGTGGTTTAATTAGCTGCGCTGCCATCGATATCATTGCGAATCTGCCCTGTTCACAATTCGGTAATCATTGTACTTCGAAGCACCTATCGATAACACAGACGACCTTCTTGGTTTAAAATTTCAACAACTGGCTAGCAGACGTGCATCAATCTGCACGTAGAAAAGCAATCATGCCCGGAGCACTGCAATAATAATATGTTAGGTGTCAAGCATCGGAAGTACTAGCTCCAAGCTACAGAACGGCATAATTAGTACGGCCAACTAACGTCAGCGGAAGGCAGGCGCAGTGGGATGGTCGGCTAAGACCATAATTGAGAAACAGAGGGTATCAGGTTCAAGTCCTGCCTGGAAGCGGAAGGGTTGTTTCCAGCCGTGCTGCGAACCACAGTTAATTGGGAACCCTTGGCTTTGCACGAGGGAAACACGGATGCAGTGAATGGGATTTCGGTCTTTGACCACTTTGTAGTGGGTCTCATCTACGCACCTCCCACCGCTTAGGAGCTGATTCTACGCCTTGATCCAAGAGGGTGGTGACGTTCCTGCGGATGCAGAAAACTCGGCTTCCAGCCGTGTCTCAGGCGAACCGTGATTTTTTAAAATTATTTTTTAACGTGAGCGGAGCTGGATACACCAGAATTCCAGCAGTATCGCGTTCCGTTATACCTCCATTCGCATAATCTATATAGATCTGAGGCACCTAATGACAATTTAAATTTCAGATTCTAAGAAGAGCTCATTGACAAAAGGTGATCACATGTAACTAGCGGTGAGCATTGAGACTGAAAACCACTCCCACAGTTTCCGAGGCCGAACGAATATAATCCATCCATGCTTGATGCCAAGAGTGTGTGTTGGAATGGTAGAGTACATTAACCCATATCCTGCCGGTAAATTTGATAAATCGAGGCCAGGGCGGGGACTATGTCTTTTTTGTTGATACCATTGGCGTCCTGTACTCTAAATGTCCGAGTCTTCAAGTGCTCTACAGCTGTATTGGGCAATCTCCCTGCATGTAGGTGAACCTTCCCCTTTAACAATTTAAATTTTTAAGGCATGCTAGATCCAACTAAATATACATGTAGTCTTTTGAAGCCGCGCTACACTGGGAACATTCACTTCTGTTTCTCTCACCTTTTTTCATAGGTGAATTAGGCGCCGGTGCCGAGACCATTGGTCTACGGAGCCCTTTAATATCGCTTTACATCATCACAATCCTGATGTTCCCTTTTGCAGCACAGGACATGCCGGTATGCCTTTTCTTGTTTCTTTGGGGCAATCGTGTGACGTTTTATTGGGTAGAAAATGATTCAGTACAACCGGACTACCATCATCAACTAAACCTTCTAATATATTTGGCCATGCAGTGAAACATGGCTCCGTTTGCCATCGCTGTACTCTCGAGAATCAAAAGCTTGTGATTTATGCCATATGAACGCAATTTGCATTCTCCCGAAATTCCGATGCTTGCTTTACAGTCCATATCCCACTTTTAATATAATCTTTACTTAATTATCCTTTCATCAGTCTGCTGTGACTTACTTAGAAGAGTTGCAATGGCTAACTGCATCTTGGCCCACTTCGGTTGACTGTTTGCTGGATGATTCCTGCTGTTCGTTCCTTGGGGTGAAAGCTGCCCTGAATTTTCGGAGAATTTGGAGTACTTTGTAAACAACCAAATGACACTAACTTCATACGCTTTGTTGAGTTATATTTCTGATAATCCCTTACCAATCGTGTGCACACACATGCCTGGTGTCAGCTAGCGAAAGGAGTTCGCTTTCTTGGCAGAAGTGTCCGGATCGTTCGGTATTAGCACATAACACCATCTAGAGCACCGGAAAAGAATTAGCAGTTCCGGCTAGATCACGGTCGAGCTGGGATCAGCTATTACAGTTCGGGTTACTGGAGTGTTACGTTTCACTCGTGTCTCAACTCCCCTTCACACATTGTTAACAGCTGTGCTGCACCGCTGGCTCAACTGTATTCCTGTCGGATCTGTCAATCTCGAATATATCGTTCTCATGACTGAACTTACCTTATGACGCCTAAAGAAGGTATTCAAGTTTATTAGCCTTGAACAATCACTTTTAATGAAGCTACAACTGAGGGCATGATTGCACAGCCCATAGCTCAACCCGAGGCATCTCCGAACAGTGTGTGACAACTATAAGGGTCCATGAGTCGGAGACGAACAAGGCGCAATTATTAAGGAACGATTAGCTCACGGGTAGACACTAGGGATCAATCTTTTATGACATCAACGTTTTCCGAAAATAGTTTGGAAAGTATCCGATAAAATCAGCGGAGCGTTCTGGCGATGGGTAACCCCAATTAAAACCCAATTGAAAGCATATTAATGTCTCCGTTCGAAGAGTGTGAGGCGTTACTATTTGTCTCTCTATCTCTCTCTACCTCTCCCCCTCTCCCTCCCTCCCTCCCTCTCCCCTCTCTCTAGGGACCATTAGCAAGCCGTGAAACGGCAACGCGAAGGACGAGCTGGGTTAGAGGCTCGTCGTGACCACGCGAAACATACTCGTGTTTGACGAGTTCGGAGGGGTCTACTCGTCATGACCACAACGAGTGGGTTTTAGTCAAATACTTGCGGTTTTAACCATGATAAGGAGAATAGCACTGTAAATCGCGAGACTTTTTAACTTTGCAATTTTTCTGAAATTTCGAAAATGCTTCATCCATTCGTGTTGGAATAAATCTGAGGGCGAAACGTACCAAACAACCAGTAGGACCATTTATTTTGGCATAACCATTATTAACATTTTAAGTATCCCAAATCCTTTTTAAATTACCAGATTTTGTATGCCTCGATCTATTTCCTCAGGGCGCGTTTGGTTGGCACGAACTAGAACAGGATTCACCAGAACAGCGCGTTTGGTTGGGACTGCACCTGTTCTGGGTCGGCCAGAACATGTTCTGCTTGCTCCGGCCTCGAGGCCGGAGCAGACCGAGCAGTTTCACTTTTTCACAGTGAAACCTGGCGGGAACATCGATTTTGTTCCCAAATGATCACGTGCATACGCTTTTGGGTTGGACTCGTCGTACCGTACAAAGTGACCATGGTGATCCATACACATTTTGAAGAATGCACCAAGTTTGGCACATTTTTCCACAAAAATGTGCTCTGTTTCTGGAGTAGCGTTTGGTTGGCATGAGGCTGCTCCATGTGCACCAGCTGTTCGATCCTGTTCTAGATCGTACCAACCAAACGCACCCTTAGCCTATCCTCGATTAACTGCTCCCTCTACATAAAGTTGTCATTTCATTATTCTTGCAGGAGATCCCCTCGACAGGCCCAAAGTCTTTGGGAAATCCTTATAATAAAATACAAATACAAAAATATTCTCAACAGATTGGCTCCATTGTAAAGTCTTTCCGATAATGTTGTGGCATGGACCTCGTGAGCATAACCCTTTACTACACACATGCATCGGCGATGTGGCTTTCATGGGTTTCTGTCACTTGCATTCGGGTAAAAGCCGATTAGACTGAAAATAATATTGTTCTCAAGAAAAATTCGCAAAACCCGTTGCCAGTAAAAAAATATTCAGAAAACTGTTTGAAACTGGAAAGCAGCCGACTCGCGTAGACGGGTTGTGAACACGAGAAGGTAATCGTAAATCACGCGGTGTTTCACGTGCGTTCTGATGAACTCGTTCCATTGACTTTTCACGGCTTGCTCATGGTCCCTTTTCCCTCTCTCTCTGTCTGTCTGTCTGTCTCTCTCTGTCTGTCTCTCTCTCTTGGTCACAATCAGGGCCAATGTGAACAAGTACTCAATGACAAAGGTGGCGAGCTGTATACCCAAATACAAGCGACAAAATAGACTGTGCTACCATAACATTTAAAGCACCACAGCCATTTGTTCACTGTTACAGGCTTCATGCACTGGATTATAAACGAGCTGCTTTCCTTTATGCTTACCTTTACTCTTTTCTACTTCAGTATCTATGCTCGGAACATCGGATACGAATACATAGGAGTATAAAGGTGCAAACGATTTTCAAACTATTTTTTAGTGCTTGTCCAGTAGAACAGGCTGGGGTTTAGGAAGATGTTATGAGAAACTGGAATGACAATCATATTGCAAAATGCATCCAGATCAATGTCTAACCACAGAAGTGTAGTCTTACTCTCACCCTGCACCATGGTCAGGCACAGACACATGTGTGGGTGGATCTGAGTTGGCACGAGTATGGAGAGGAGCAAGACGGCGGGAGAAAACTAGATACAAATCTTATAAATTGGGAAAAAATCTAGAATGGGAGGGGGGGGATTTGCTGTGAGCGTGTTCGCTGAAGAGATGGTTGGTACACTATTCCAGGAGCAATCCACAGGCGTGAGTCTATCATTTTCAAGTTATATGTTTACTTGTTTGTTTGTATACTTTATTTGAATTCGCAAATCCAAACGAGCACAAATGCTCAAGGACAAGGCAGCGAATATGTTATTATGTTTATACAGGGAAGAAAATAAGGAGAAAAGAGAGAGAATGGTGGATATCTCAATGAAGAGCGAAGCGTTATCAAACTACAAGTAAGGCAGCGAACGATACGTCGATAGTTCTGTAACCCGCCTAAACTAAATTAAAATAAACTAAGTACTTTTTTCAGACGTGCAGTGGACTGTCATTAAAACAGAAACAGAAAAATAATAATAAGGCACCCATTTTGTTAGTCCAGGGGATGGCCCACGCCTGGTAAAGAGAATAAATAGAGAAAATAAAATAAAATAAAAAACAAAAACAAAGAAAGTACTAACAGTTACTGCTAACGAGAGTACTTGCTACTAACATCGGGAGGATAAAAGATGTGTGTGTGTAGGTGATCACAACAGGTTGGCATAGATGGCCAGGACGGAGAGAAAGAGGGCGACAAGAGACACTGTATGGGAGACACAGGGGCAGAGAAGAGAAATTGATGTCAACTACGGTGCCCTTCCAATGAGAGCAGTATCTTGAATACTTCTTCAGCGTGAAACCAAGCATATGCATAAGTGTGGTATTGTTTTGCTAATAGGGCTTGAAAGTGCTACATCACAGCATAGCAACAATTTCAAAAATTCCAAAACTGGACCCACATGCATACAGTTTTTGTATGGATGCAAGCACAAGGTGATGCACCCACACACTGTAGGCAATAGCAAAGTCACGCCTTGGTGGATCCAAATGTAGAACTTACTACTTACTCTAGCCGTTTTGACGTAATCACTTTCAAGCCCTATGGTCTATGTCAATGAACTGATCTATCAAAATCCCAGATGTTGCTATCGTTGTCGTGATCATTCTCGTTGTTCCTGCCGTTGTCGCTGTTGTTGTCTCTTCTTTTTAACACAAACAGGCAACTAGCAGTATGCATTCATGCATGTGTGTGACTATCATTGCAAGACATAAAATTATAGTAAACGCAAAAATTAATGGTTTCATTGTTGACTAGTAGAGGATGCAACGATAATACATTAACGAAAAATACATCCAGCAATAAGAGTTTGGTACATACAGTCATGTATGTGTGTGTGTGTGTGTGTGTGTGTGTGTGTGTGTGTGTGTGTGTGTGTGTGTGTGTGTGTGTGTGTGTGTGTGTGTGTGTGTGTGTGTGTGTGTGTGTGTGTGTGTGTGTGTGTGTGTGTGTGTGTGTGTGTGTGTGTGTGTGTGTGTGTGTGTGTGTGTGTGTGTGTGTGTGTGTGTGTGTGTGTGTGTGTGTGTGTGTGTGTGTGTGTGTGTGTGTGTGTGTGTCTGTGTATCCATAGATGTTCAGTGTTGGCAACTGAAATCCGACCCCCCTAGCGTCTCGTACGAATCGCTAACGCGGCTAGCGCACCGCTAGGGGGGGGGGGTCGGATTTCAGTTGCCAGCACTGTATGTGTATTTGTGTGTGTGCATATACATGTACATATACATGGCAGTACGTTTTTGTCTATGTGCACCATAGATGATAACATCCATGTGCACCATAGATGATAACATCCATGTGCACCATAGATGATAACATCCATGTGCACCATAGATGATAACATCCATGTGCACCATAGATGATAACATCCATCTTCAAGCCTTTCAACACATCGCTCCTACTTCACTTCATTTTTCTGCTCTTGTCAGTCTACTGTTCCCTCTCCTTGATATTTTTGAAGCGCCTCGTCTGCTACTACTCAATTCCTGCATATTCCTGATATCATTTTCACATGCATGGATCACGCATACTCATAGTAACATGGAGACTCACCAATCGTAGGTCCTGAAGCTGAAGACGTGTTTTCCTTGTTGACTAGTAGAGGAAGCAACGATAATACATTAACGAAAAATACATCCAGCAATAAGAGTTTGGTACATACAGTAATGTATGTGTGTGTGTGTGTGTGTGTGTGAGTGTGTGTGTGTGTATGTGTGTGTGTGTGTCTGTGTATCCATAGATGTTCAGTGTTGGCAACTGAAATCCGACCCCCCTAGCGTCTCGTACGAATCGCTAACGCGGCTAGCGCACCGCTGGGGGGGGGGGGGGTCGGATTTCAGTTGCCAGCACTGTATGTGTATTTGTGTGTGTGCATATACATGTACATATAAAACTCGGAGGGAGTTGTGGGTGCTCGTGAGAGTGCTCAATACACCAAGGTGCAGAGCCTAGTACACACACTTGAGAGGGACGAAAAGCGTTTCTTCTGTAACTCTGAGTTTCACGGTTTTAACCGATCTGTCTGATGATCGGTTAAAACCGTGAAACTCAGAGTTACAGAAGAAACGCTTTTCGTCCCTCTCAAGTGTGTGTACATGTACATATACATGGCAGTAAGTTTTTGTCTATGTGCACCATAGATGATAACATCCATGTGCACCATAGATGATAACATCCATGTGCACCATAGATGATAACATCCATGTGCACCATAGATGATAACATCCATGTGCACCATAGATGATAACATCCATGTGCACCATAGATGATAACATCCATCTTCAAGCCTTTCAACACATCGCTCCTACTTCACTTCATTTTTCTGCTCTTGTCAGTCTACTGTTCGCTCTCCTTGATATTTTTGAAGCGCCTCGTCTGCTACTACTCAATTCCTGCATATTCCTGATATCATTTTCACATGCATGGATCACGCATACTCATAGTAACATGGAGACTCACCAATCGTAGGTCCTGAAGCTGAAGACGTGGTTTCATTGTTGACTAGTAGAGGATGCAACGATAATACATTAACGGAAAATACATCCAGCAATAAGAGTTTGGTACATACAGTCATGTATGTGTGTGTGTGTGTGTGTGTGTGTGTGTGTATGTGTGTGTGTGTCTGTGTATCCATAGATGTTCAGTGTTGGCAACTGAAATCCGACCCCCCTAGCGTCTCGTACGAATCGCTAACGCGGCTAGCGCACCGCTAGGGGGGGTCGGATTTCAGTTGCCAGCACTGTATGTGTATTTGTGTGTGTGCATATACATGTACATATAAAAAACTCGGAGGGAGTTGTGGTTGCTCGTGAGAGTGCTCAATACACCAAGGTGCAGAGCCTAGCACACACACTTGAGAGGGACGAAAAGCGTTTCTTCTGTTACTCTGAGTTTCACGGTTTTAACCGATCTGTCTGATGATCGGTTAAAACCGTGAAACTCAGAGTTACAGAAGAAACGCTTTTCGTCCCTCTCAAGTGTGTGTACATGTACATATACATGGCAGTACGTTTTTGTCTATGTGCACCATAGATGATAACATCCATGTGCACCATAGATGATAACATCCATGTGCACCATAGATGATAACATCAATCTTCAAGCCTTTCAACACATCGCTCCTACTTCACTTCATTTTTCTGCTCTTGTCAGTCTACTGTTCCCTCTCCTTGATATTTTTGAAGCGCCTCGTCTGCTACTACTCAATTCCTGCATATTCCTGATATCATTTTCACATGCATGGATCACGCATACTCATAGTAACATGGAGACTCACCAATCGTAGGTCCTGAAGCTGAAGACGTGGTTTCATTGTTGACTAGTAGAGGATGCAACGATAATACATTAACGGAAAATACATCCAGCAATAAGAGTTTGGTACATACAGTCATGTATGTGTGTGTGTGTGTGTGTGTGTGTGTGTGTGTGTGTGTGTGTGTGTGTGTGTGTGTGTGTGTGTGTGTGTGTGTGTGTGTGTGTGTGTCTGTGTATCCATAGATGTTCAGTGTTGGCAACTGAAATCCGACCCCCTAGCGTCTCGTACGAATCGCTAACGCGGCAAGCGCACCGCTAGGGGGGGGTCGGATTTCAGTTGCCAGCACTGTATGTGTATTTGTGTGTGTGCATATACATGTACATATACATGGCAGTACGTTTTTGTCTAAGTGCACCATAGATGATAACATTCATGTGCACCATAGATGATAACATCCATGTGCACCATAGATGATAACATCCATCTTCAAGCTTTTCAACACATCGCTCCTACTTCACTTCATTTTTCTGCTCTTGTCAGTCTACTGTTCGCTCTCCTTGATATTTTTGAAGCGCCTCGTCTGCTACTACTCAATTCCTGCATATTCCTGATATCATTTTCACATGCATGGATCACGCATACTCATAGTAACATGGAGACTCACCAATCGTAGGTCCTGAAGCTGAAGACGTGGTTTCATTGTTGACTAGTAGAGGATGCAACGATAATACATTAACGAAAAATACATCCAGCAATTAGAGTTTGGTACATACAGTCATGTATGTGTGTGTGTGTGTGTGTGTGTGTGTGTGTGTGTGTGTGTGTGTGTGTGTGTGTGTGTGTGTGTGTGTGTGTGTGTGTGTGTGTCTGTGTATCCATAGATGTTCAGTGTTGGCAACTGAAATCCGACCCCCCTAGCGTCTCGTACGAATCGCTAACGCGGCTAGCGCACCGCTAGGGGGGGGTCGGATTTCAGTTGCCAGCACTGTATGTGTATTTGTGTGTGTGCATATACATGTACATATACATGGCAGTACGTTTTTGTCTATGTGCACCATAGATGATAACATCCATGTGCACCATAGATGATAACATCCATGTGCACCATAGATGATAACATCCATGTGCACCATAGATGATAACATCCATGTGCACCATAGATGATAACATCCATCTTCAAGCCTTTCAACACATCGCTCCTACTTCACTTCATTTTTCTGCTCTTGTCAGTCTACTGTTCGCTCTCCTTGATATTTTTGAAGCGCCTCGTCTGCTACTACTCAATTCCTGCATATTCCTGATATCATTTTCGCATGCATGGATCATGCATACTCATAGTAACATGGAGACTCACCAATCGTAGGTCCTGAAGCTGAAAACGTGGCGACTGTGGGGGGACCAGGGGTCATCTAAAAACACATACGAGAAAGGTTGATGTAATGCAGTTGTGTATTCCTACAAGTTTTGGCCTCTCTGGATGGCTTAGTATTTAACTGCCAGCCTAGTGCCAGATGATTTGCAGCCAGGGAAGAATCTGATTTCTTGTCTGTGTGCTTCGTAGATAGTATCTCTTAATTTGCAGGCCAAAAATCCGATACATGTATATAGAATGTGAAAATGTGTGCCTTTTATGCCGTTGTTATTGGTCATCACGACCAATAATAACGGCATAATGGTTTTCATGGAAGTTGGAAATATGTTTGAGGCATGAATGTTTACATTTTAGATTCATAGGGCGATAATATTTCTGATGAATACCCATTTTCAGCAATAATTGGAAATTTGAGCATAATTGTTCAGCTGCTGTCATGGAAAGGACTGAAGCAGTGAATGTGCAGAAGAACATTGCAGGTGTGGCACGGGGTGGTTTCTTGACGACATATCGCGCATGCCGTCATGAAACTACCAGTTTTGAGGATAAAACAAGGTCCAATAAAATCTCAAATCCTATATATAGGAATCGTGAAATAGGGCACAGGCCTTAGTAATATTGGGCAAGGAGATGAGCCTGAGATGTAAGGGTTGGAAAAAATTATCTTATTCAACTCTGGATATCTACTAAGACCTAGCAAGGAAGAATTGGTCACATACTTTTTGCTATTCTCATGCCACACCCATTTTGAGCTGAAAAATATGACCAAAATCCTGTATATAGGATTTAGCAAATTAAGAGATAAGCCCATTGCGCAATGACGTAATTTGTGCCATAGACACCCCAGACAACCACCTGGGCATAGTCGTCTGGGGTGTTGAGCACTGAACAGTGCATTCCTGATCCCAGTGTACTCACATGCATTACTCATACCTTCCATATTTGGCAATGCGCAATGGGCTTATTGCAGCCTTCGTCCCTTCTGACTTCCTTCTTGGATGAAATCATGAGAACAGGAGCCAAATACGGAAACTGAAATGGGGACTTTGATGTGATAGGTGCATTTTATACTGTACATACGCTAAAGAATACTATAATAATGTCAGAGCTCCCCGGGTGCTAGTTCGTACACGAAGTGTGTGGGTTGTGAGGGCTGCATACCACCCGCCTGTGTGGATTCACATCAGGCTTGAGTTTCGAATTCAGAATGAAATGGTCGCCGCTTGGTTGACGACTACACAAAAGCTTACTTGTGGAGCGGCTGTGGACGTGGCGACTGTGGGGGGACCAGGGGTCATCTAAAAACACATACGAGAAAGGTTGATGTGATGCAGTTGTGTATTCCTACAAGTTTTGGCCTCTCTGGATGGCTTAGTATTTAACTGCCAGCCTAGTGCCAGATGATTTGCAGCCAGGGAAGAATCTGATTTCTTGTCTGTGTGCTTCGTAGATAGTATCTCTTAATTTGCAGGCCAAAAATCCGATACATGTATATAGAATGTGAAAATGTGTGCCTTTTATGCCGTTGTTATTGGTCATCACGACCAATAATAACGGCATAATGGTTTTCATGGAAGTTGGAAATATGTTTGAGGCATGAATGTTTACATTTTAGATTCATAGGGCGATAATATTTCTGATGAATACCCATTTTCAGCAATAATTGGAAATTTGAGCATAATTGTTCAGCTGCTGTCATGGAAAGGACTGAAGCAGTGAATGTGCAGAAGAACATTGCAGGTGTGGCACGGGGTGGTTTCTTGACGACATATCGCGCATGCCGTCATGAAACTACCAGTTTTGAGGATAAAACAAGGTCCAATAAAATCTCAAATCCTATATATAGGAATCGTAAAATAGGGCACAGGCCTTAGTAATATTGGGCAAGGAGATGAGCCTGAGATGTAAGGGTTGGAAAAAATTATCTTATTCAACTCTCGATATCTACTAAAGCGGGATTCACAGAAGCTTTTTTGCGATGCGACACGCGATGCGACAGGCGCGAAACCGGGAAAACCCCAAATCGCAGCCATGTCGCACCCCACGCAACTGCCGCAACTGGGCCATCGCAGAAGTTGAGCTTGGCTCAACTTTTGCGATGCGATGCGATGCGACAAGCGATTTGGCGTACGATTTTGACCTTTTCTACAGCAAAGTTGTACAAAGGTGCAAGAGTTGACTATAAATTTGTACAAGTTGTATCAAACAGCGCGAATATCATGGTGACGTAGCCAAATCAGCAAGATTTTGTCGCATCACTGACTTCTTCTGTGAATGGTATTTCGCGAGTTCGCATCGCACGCGTCCGTCGCAGATCGCGTCGCATCGCGTGTCGCATCGCAAAAAAGCTTCTGTGAATCCCGCTTAAGACCTAGCAAGGAAGAATTGGTCACATACTTTTTGCTATTCTCATGCCACACCCATTTTGAGCTGAAAAATATGACCAAAATCCTGTATATAGGATTTAGCAAATTAAGAGATAAGCCCATTGCGCAATGACGTAATTTGTGCCATAGACACCCCAGACAACCACCTGGGCATAGTCGTCTGGGGTGTTGAGCACTGAACAGTGCATTCCTGATCCCAGTGTACTCACATGCATTACTCATACCTTCCATATTTGGCAATGCGCAATGGGCTTATTGCAGCCTTCGTCCCTTCTGACTTCCTTCTTGGATGAAATCATGAGAACAGGAGCCAAATACGGAAACTGAAATGGGGACTTTGATGTGATAGGTGCATTTTATACTGTACATACGCTAAAGAATACTATAATAATGTCAGAGCTCCCCGGGTGCTAGTTCGTACACGAAGTGTGTGGGTTGTGAGGGCTGCATACCACCCGCCTGTGTGGATTCACATCAGGCTTGAGTTTCGAATTCAGAATGAAATGGTCGCCGCTTGGTTGACGACTACACAAAAGCTTACTTGTGGAGCGGCTGTGGACGTGGCGACTGTGGGGGGACCAGAGGTCATCTAAAAACACATACGAGAAAGGTTGATGTGATGCAGTTGTGTATTCCTACAAGTTTTGGCCTCTCTGGATGGCTTAGTATTTAACTGCCAGCCTAGTGCCAGATGATTTGCAGCCAGGGAAGAATCTGATTTCTTGTCTGTGTGCTTCGTAGATAGTATCTCTTAATTTGCAGGCCAAAAATCCGATACATGTATATAGAATGTGAAAATGTGTGCCTTTTATGCCGTTGTTATTGGTCATCACGACCAATAATAACGGCATAATGGTTTTCATGGAAGTTGGAAATATGTTTGAGGCATGAATGTTTACATTTTAGATTCATAGGGGGATAATATTTCTGATGAATACCCATTTTCAGCAATAATTGGAAATTTGAGCATAATTGTTCAGCTGCTGTCATGGAAAGAACTGAAGCAGTGAATGTGCAGAAGAACATTGCAGGTGTGGCACGGGGTGGTTTCTTGACGACATATCGCGCATGCCGTCATGAAACTACCAGTTTTGAGGATAAAACAAGTTCCAAGAAAATCTCAAATCCTATATATAGGAATCTTGAAATAGGGCACAGGCCTTAGTAATATTGGGCAAGGAGATGAGCCTGAGATGTTAGTGTTTGAAAAAATTATCTTATTCAACTCTCGATATCTACTAAGACCTAGCAAGGAAGAATTGGTCACATACTTTTTGCTATTCTCATGCCACACCCATTTTGAGCTGAAAAATATGACCAAAATCCTGTATATAGGATTTAGCAAATTAAGAGATAAGCCCATTGCGCAATGACGTAATTTGTGCCATAGACACCCCAGACAACCACCTGGGCATAGTCGTCTGGGGTGTTGAGCACTGAACAGTGCATTCCTGATCCCAGTGTACTCACATGCATTACTCATACCTTCCATATTTGGCAATGCGCAATGGGCTTATTGCAGCCTTCGTCCCTTCTGACTTCCTTCTTGGATGAAATCATGAGAACAGGAGCCAAATACGGAAACTGAAATGGGGACTTTGATGTGATAGGTGCATTTTATACTGTACATACGCTAAAGAATACTATAATAATGTCAGAGCTCCCCGGGTGCTAGTTCGTACACGAAGTGTGTGGGTTGTGAGGGCTGCATACCACCCGCCTGTGTGGATTCACATCAGGCTTGAGTTTCGAATTCAGAATGAAATGGTCGCCGCTTGGTTGACGACTACACAAAAGCTTACTTGTGGAGCGGCTGTGGACGTGGCGACTGTGGGGGGACCAGAGGTCATCTAAAAACACATACGAGAAAGGTTGATGTGATGCAGTTGTGTATTCCTACAAGTTTTGGCCTCTCTGGATGGCTTAGTATTTAACTGCCAGCCTAGTGCCAGATGATTTGCAGCCAGGGAAGAATCTGATTTCTTGTCTGTGTGCTTCGTAGATAGTATCTCTTAATTTGCAGGCCAAAAATCCGATACATGTATATAGAATGTGAAAATGTGTGCCTTTTATGCCGTTGTTATTGGTCATCACGACCAATAATAACGGCATAATGGTTTTCATGGAAGTTGGAAATATGTTTGAGGCATGAATGTTTACATTTTAGATTCATAGGGCGATAATATTTCTGATGAATACCCATTTTCAGCAATAATTGGAAATTTGAGCATAATTGTTCAGCTGCTGTCATGGAAAGGACTGAAGCAGTGAATGTGCAGAAGAACATTGCAGGTGTGGCACGGGGTGGTTTCTTGACGACATATCGCGCATGCCGTCATGAAACTACCAGTTTTGAGGATAAAACAAGGTCCAATAAAATCTCAAATCCTATATATAGGAATCGTGAAATAGGGCACAGGCCTTAGTAATATTGGGCAAGGAGATGAGCCTGAGATGTAAGGGTTGGAAAAAATTATCTTATTCAACTCTCGATATCTACTAAGACCTAGCAAGGAAGAATTGGTCACATACTTTTTGCTATTCTCATGCCACACCCATTTTGAGCTGAAAAATATGACCAAAATCCTGTATATAGGATTTAGCAAATTAAGAGATAAGCCCATTGCGCAATGACGTAATTTGTGCCATA